CAAAAATTTATTTTTTCACAGTTCTGGAGGTTAAAAGTCCAATAGCTAGGTAATATCAGGATTCATATATGGTGATTCCTCTCCTCCTGAATGGCTGATGGTTGCCTTTTCACTGTGTCCTCACCCAGGGGAATGGGGAGAGAGAGAGACCGAGAGAAACAGAGAGTGGGAGGGAGACAAAGAGTATTAGCTATCTGGTTTATCTTCTTTTAAGGACACTAATCTTTTTAGATCAGGGCCCCATCCTTATGACCTCAATTAACCTTAATAAATGTTATAGTCTCAAAAAAGAAAAACATAACATTTCTTTCTGGTGTGTGTGTGTGTGTGTGTGTGTGTTTAGAGATATGTATGACAATCAATACTTCCTACAGGCAATGTACTATTTCAAGGGGCTAGTAAGTTACATTACCAAGACACAATCTTTTTGGTTGGCTTGCTGCTGGGTGGATTTTTATTTTTATTTTTTGGTTGTTGTTTGTTTATATATTTTACCAAATTTGTCAATCATCCTGTTTAAATAAAATAACTTTAGAGAAAATATACTTCTGATTTTAACAACATGTCAAAAACACAGAGTGAATTTAATGGTCTATTCAAACACATTGTTTTTTTCTCAGTTATAGTTCTTCATTTTATAGTAAAATGGTTTTTCTTAGTCTTATAATGTCAGTGGAATAATTTTACATCAAATAATATATAGGTCTTGTCTGTTTTCCTCCAAGACTGTTGACTTTTTAAATTGGGTTCTGTAAATTTGTAATCTTTCCATCTAAACAAAAGTGTGGATATTTAAAAGGCACTTTTAATATTTTTCCAGTAGTATTTCATTACTGTTTAGATTCTCCTATTTGCAGTAAAAACATACATATTTTCTGCTACATTATTTGATATTGCCTATATAATATCCTATATGAAAATATATGTCTTTGGTAAATCAGTGATAGAAAATATTTTTAAAAAATACATGGTATTGCTACTTTTTCTTCTAATAATAAGATAATAATAATAATAATAATAATAATAATATTTTCTCTTACCTTGAGAGTCAGACAGTAAGCTCTGACTCACATTTGAATGAGTGAAGCCACCATGTAGTTAATGCTTTCCATGTATTTGCTGATTTAATTTACTTATGTGTGATCACTAATTTTTTGAGAAGGAACCTTATAGCTCAAGATGGGTAAGTAACCTGTATGAGATCACACAGTGCACATGGGGAATTCCTGGTCTTTGACCTAGGCTCTGGCTCAACAGTTTGTGCTTGGAATTTTTTATTGCCCAACTTAATAGCAGTGTTGTTGGTCCTTAAATTCCTGTATTAATCTGCTTTGTGGAGAGATTTGGAGTTTAATGGACACAAATGAATTTAAATAGTGTCTGTTTATACTGAGCTAAAACTCATATTTATTCCCTTGCAAAAGATCTCTAAATGCATCAGTTGGTCTCACAGAATTAACACAAAATGCTACCAATACCAAAAAAAGAAACAATATTTTTGCATTCATAGTTCTATTTTGATGACTTCATTTTAATGAGAAATGCAGTTCATTAAGTTTTTCCTACTGGGTGAATATATTAATATGGATATAAAGCTAAACTTTAATTAATGTTTAGATTACCATTCTTCTGATTATCCCCTCAGAACTATAGCAGTAGTTCTGAGGGGATAATTTTCTGCACTAAAGCATTTAGCTAAAAATCAAGTACATATTATAGTAATGTCAGTTTTTGAAGTCAGTAGTTACCTGAAGTTACTTTCCTAATTCAGTTATTAGCCTTTCAGCAAACACATATACAAAAAGAATGTTTTAGATACAAGCAATTAAAATCATGCAAAGGCTAATGAAAGCAATGTTAAAAACTAAATTAGAAAACTATTCTCTCACAAAATTAAGGAAAACTAATGTCAACAGAGGAAGGGAACTGGGGTACACTGCCCCATAGTATGTAGGAAGATTATAATGTCTTTTAATCAAAACGCTTGCTGAGTAAATCTTTCACACAGCTTGTAATTTTCTTTACCCTCTGTGGTTTCCCTTCCAATGTTTGCCTTGTCTCACCCAACCAGAAGGGAGACTGTCAGAAAATTGGGCTCTTAGGTCATTCCTCTCATAGTTTTCTCTGACACATTTTATCACATTGTTTTCCTTTTCCCCTTTCATCTTTCTTTTTTGTTGTGTGCTTCATAATTATCTAAAGTAAAGGATATGACACTGACTAAAAAGAATCCGCAACTACTCAAGGAGATAGAAAAACTGATTCCCTTAAAGGAATTTCAATCAGAGTTTCTTCCAAATTTTTTCCTCTGAAATAATTAAAGCCCAAACTTAGAGAAAGGTCATGAAAAGATTCTTAGTACTTATACACACTTAGTGACAGTGGTTGAGCCAAGGAAATATATAGTGGAATGCACATTGTATATTAATGAATAGAATATCTAAATGAATGTGTTCTAGTGATTAAACTTTAGGGGTATGTCAATTTTTTATTTATTTATTTATTTATTTTTGGCTGGCCAACATTTATTTTACATTTTCGATTAGTTAACATCCCAATTATCCCTAACTATAGATGGTAAATTTGACTAAATTGTATATATTTAAGGTGTCCAATATGATGATCAAATTAATTAATATATCAATTCACAGTTATTGCAGTGTGTGTGTGTTTGTGTGTGTGTGTGTGTGTGTGTGTGAGTTAACATTTAAGATTTATTTTCTTAGCAGATTTCAAGTACACAATACAGTATTAACTATACTTGCCATGGTATACATTAAATTCTCAGAATTTATTCATCTTATAACTGAAAGTCTGTACCTTTGACCAGCATCTCCTCATTTCTCATACTCTCAGCACCTGGCAGCCACCCGTCTACTCTGTCTGTGGGAGTTCTGCTTCTTAATATTCTGCATATAAATAAGATCATACAGCACTTGTCTTTGTCTGGCTTATTTCTCTTAGTAGAATACCTCAGGTTCATTGAATAGCTATAGTGCAAATATATATTTATCTAGATGTTTCTATAGTTGATGACTTCAGAGATTTTTAATAATTGATAAAATAATATTTAAATAAACATTTCACTGCATTCTTCTGGAGTTTATAAAAGGTGTACATAGAATATTTTATATAGCTTATAAGTATTGCTATAAATCACAACACTGATTCTTACATTAGTTTTCCCCAATACATAAGGAAATAATAGCTTTTTAAAGATTTCCAAAAGCACAGATTGTTCCTAATGGTGTAATACTTTTATGCCGGGGGCCTAACCTTCTTGGATCATTTCCTAAAGTGCCAGGAGAGAAGTAGGCAAGCTACCGAATATAAATCTATTCCTTTATGGCGAGTTGAAAAGAACCCTGTGCAGTCCTGCAAATAGGGATCATAGCTAATGTGGTCATTTATTAACAACATGGAAACAGCTACCGGAAAGGTGATATCGTTCAAGATTACTTTCCTTTAAAAATATTAAATTTAGAGCTGTTAGCTCCTTTGATTCTAGAGATAAAAATAGTCTGCTAAGATGAGCATGGGTTTCATTTGGGTGAACTTTGATTGTTGGTGGCTCACCAGGGTGTAATTCTGAGCCCTGGCATTGTAGGATAGAGAAGCATAATCTGCCATTAGCCTTGTTCTCTGTTGACCTAGCACAATTTTTCCCCTCTGGATTCTAGCTCTCCCAGTTCAGGAATGGTGGGAAAGAGACTAATAGGAGAAAAACCGTGGGGCTAACTCTCTTGTCTCTCTGGTCTCAGGGCAAACAATAAGTAGCCTGTTTTAAATCCTTACTAAGATAATGCAGACTACTCATTCATTTATTCAGTCAACACAGCTATATTGTGCATTGATGATGCACCCACTGTGCTAGCAGATTGGTGTTAATTAGTTATAATTAGGGATAGTACCAAGAAGCAAAATTAGAGTGTCCATGATAAATAGTTTGTAGATCAGTTGTCATATATTTGATCCTAATTAAAATGCATGAGAGTTCACTTAAGTAATACATCAAAATACATACGTAATTTGAATCTAGTTTTTTGCAAAAGGTTGACTAACCATTTATTCCTCATTATATCTGGTTTGCAAAGGGTCATTCTTGAAATAGTGACAAGGGCTACATTTCTCATTAAAGGGCTGACCATTGCCTGGCCAGCTCAGCTCAGTTGGTTGAGTGTTGATCTATGAACCAGGAGGTCAAGGTTTGATTCTGGTCAGGGCACATGACCGGGTTGCCAGCTTGATCCCCAGTCAGGGGCGTGCAGACAGCAGCCAGCATCATTGATGTTTCTCTTTCTCTCCCTCTCTCTTCCTCTCTGAAATCGATAAAAATATATTTTTAAAAAATAAAAAATAATAAAGGTGTGATGATTGGGTGAGAATCTAATATTTGATAATGAAATGTATTATTTGTTAAATATTTACTATTGCTTAGGTTACAAAACCCATCATCTATACTAGTACCGGTTAAGTTATTTGGCAAGCATCTCTCTAGCTGCATCTTTTGTAGTGAATGATAGCAGAAGTAAGCACCATTGCTTACATTAAATCTAAAATAAAAATATTTATTTATTGTAAGCTAGAGTAATATCATTGCTAGTTTCATACTTAAAAATTTTAAAAAACTATATTTTGTTTATGGCGGTTTCTATTATTTCACAGGTATTTTTATATTTGTGTCACTTGTGAAATTGATAATGTGTGTGAAGTATTTTAAACATGAATAGGTCAGTTGTTCCAATAAAAAATTAGCAGAATGCAATACTTTAGTGTTTATTAAATCAAATAAAATTATCAGACCAATTAAAAGAAATACCAATAACTTAATATTATTATGTCAGAAGCATCATTATGGACTTTGTGGTTTCAGGCATGTCATTTAGGAATTACTTTTTGATTTCCATTGATTCATAAAAAAATAAAGTAAAACAAGTATTTACTCCAGTGCATTTTCTTCTAATAAGTAACCGCTAATAAAAATGTATTATTTCTTATAGGCAATACAGCTAAGGTATATATTGAGATTCAGGATGAAAATGATCATCCCCCAGTGTTTCAGAAAAAATTCTACATTGGAGGTGTATCTGAAGATGCAAGGATGTTTGATCCTGTGCTCAAAGTTAAGGTATGAACAAATTTATTAAGATACAAACTAAAGTAAAAGCAAAGAGCAGATAAATTAGAACGAATTTTTCATATAAACTAAAGCAATGTTATATGCATTAACTGAGTACTTATTCTGGTTTAAAAGAAGTCTTTAAATTGGAGATATGTTAGTTTAATTAGCCAAATTAAATGCAGATTAATTAGGAGGCAAATACTAAACAAGTTTTTGCATTTTATTTTTACTACCAAAAAGAAAAACAAAAACCCAAAAAACAGTTTTTATGATGTTTTACTTTAAATAAGATCTTAAAATGCATGTTTCTTCATAGATTTTTAATTGTCATTTTCTAATAGAAAAAATAATGTAAGTTCTGAAATTATGTTTCTGTAATAGTTTTTAAATTTCACAGTGCTAGTTATATAAATGTAAAATAACTACTAATTTTAGTACTTTACTAAAAATTTAAAAAACTTGGATATGTCAGGGAAAATTGCTTAGAATTTAAAAAAATATAATGTGTAAGACTAAAGTTGTAAATTTTCCATTTTTCCTAATTGTCAACTATGTTTAAAGATTTTTTTAATGGTTGGCAGTACATGAAGGCACAATAGTTTTATTACTAAGAAATAAATTTATAAATATTACCTTGCACTGGGGGAAATATTTAGAAGCTGTAACATTTTAGATTCTCCATTTCAAGTTTATTTGTGTGTGTGTTTTCCTGGAAATTCTTAGTAAATCAATTTTTTAAAATAGCTATTAACATACACACATTAAAACTAAAATTCCCTGAACAAATCCAGCTGATTGCCCACAGTTTTGCACATGAACAGGTTGCCTTTATTTCCCTATTACCAGGAGGACCATGATTAGAGTTTTTTTTTGTGTGTTTTTTTTTTTTTTTGCATATGGTTTTATCACCTAACATACCCTAAGAAAAACAAAGATCAATCAAGCAAATAAAGCTTGTGTGTGGTGCTTACAAAATAGCTTTACCACAGTGCCAGATGGTGACTCCTGATCTGAACCACAAATTTAAGTCAATCACACTACATATATGCAACTTGCATTATGATTTCTAAGTAACAGTCTTCTAGAGATGATTGTATCTTATTTTTTTATTTTAGTCCCATTAACTATTGATTGATTCAATTTATAATCAGTAAATATATTTTGAGTACTTAAAATGTGCACTGTTCTAGAAATTAGATATAGAAACATAGAAAAATAAAGTTGCCACCCTACTAATACAAACTAGTGGGGGGAAAACACCAAATAATATATCAAGAAAATTAGTAGCTATTTCATACAGATTTATGTGGTCAAGAGAAAGACCAGTGGGTTCTTAAATTAAGAGCATTGTGGACACGCCAACATAAAGTCCATGAAGCTAGTGGGAACTTGGAGGTCATTGTAAATGAAAAAGACTGGGGATGAGATTGGAAATCTAGTTCAGGTCTATCATAAGGGATTTATTCTAGAGGGTTTAGAAAGACATTGGCTGGTTTTGTCCACAGGGGTAATATAATCCAGTATAAAGGGATTAATCTGCATGTGTGCGGGTTTGGGAGTGGAAACTAGTAGCAGTGTCAGCAGACAAAAATAGATACCACCTAATGCATTGCCTTCCAGGCAAGATTTGATTATGACTTGAAACATAGTAGTAGGCAGAGGAAATAGTGAGAAGGGAGTCAAATGATAGCCAAAAGGGTTTGCTGATGGATTCTTTGTAAGACACTAGAGAAAATAAAAGAAAAAAAAATGACTTAGGTTTTTGTTCTGAATAGGTCCCCATTGCTCCCCCATGATGAGGGTGGTAGAAGTCAAGAGTGCATTTTTGGAGATTATATGTTGGTGAGGTTTTCTCAATATGCAAGCATAGTTCTTAACATGGCAGTTGGAGAAATCATTGGCCAAGATGAAATTACCTAGACAATGGGTGTAACTGAAACCAGTTTGGCTTAGTGGATAGAGTGTTGGCCTGCAGACTGAAGGGTGTCGGGATCAGTTCCAGTCAAGGGCATGTACCTTGGTTGCGGACACATCCCCAATGGGGAATGTGCAGGAGGCAACTGGTCAATGTTGCTTCTCATCAATATTTCTGGCTCTCTGTCCCTTTCCATTCTCTCTGTGAGAAATCAATAAAATATATTATAAAACGATAAAAAGAAAAGAAAATGGGTGTAGAGAGAAAAATCCAAAGACTATTTTCTGGGTGTACTCAGCATTTAGAGATCAGGAAGAGAATTCACTAGGAAAATACAGAATCTATTCATCACAAAAAGAACAAGTGTGTTAAGACAGGGAGTGGTCACCTGTCACATGCTCCTGTGAATAGATTTTTACATGACCACATGTGATATTAATAATATAGGAGAGAGGGAAAAAAAAACAATAAGCCAAATGCTAAACTATTCCATTGACAAAGGGGATCATTAAAGAGGTCTGTGGATGGCTGTAGAAGATAATTGAGTGGATGATATAATCTGATGATGGCATTTATTTCAGAGGAATTGGTAGAAGTGGCCAAGGGGATGGAGTAATATTCTAGAAGCAACAATTCAGAGACAGAAAGATACCCACCATCTATCTACTGCTAAGCTCTGTATTATGTAAGGTATGTGAGCCTCTGTGTGAGAAGCTGTAGAAAGCCACCATGTCTTCTATGGGAGAGAGGTGCTGGGTGAGAGAAATCAGAAAGCAACAGTAGTACTTAGGGGATGTTGATGATGATGGTTTGTAAATTCCAGAAGATCCTAGGGAAAGTTTGGCTGTAGAGGTAAAGGTGAGGTGGGAAACTGAATCATATGAGGATGTGTAAAGGGCTACATAGGAAGAAATATCTGGGTGATGAGTGATATCTTTGGACACATGGATTTCTAAATAAATAGTGATGAGTAAACAGTATGGGATCGAATGTTTCTCTAGTATTATTGAACCTCTGCAGACCTTCTTTCCTTCAATTGATCTATGGGTTTTTCAGGCTGGAAAAAAGGTGTTTCCCAGGCAACCAATTTCACGCAAAAAAAATATCCTATTTAAGTTGGAGGAGAGATAAAAGTTTAGCAGTATATTAATGCAAGTGTATGCTATAATAATTCAATTAGGAAACCACAAATTGCCATGTGAATTCTAAGGAAGGAGACATTTCAATTGGGGGAAAAATGAAAGGTTTCCTAGAGGGAAAAGAATTTGCAAGGCACAGGAGGGTAGTTAGGTTTTCACAGTGAATGTTAAATGAGGAGGATAGTCTAAGCAGAGGAAACACAATGAGCCAAACAGGCAAGAAACAATGTGCAGTGTGTTTGTGGAGCAGTGATAAGAGGCAGGTACCTTAGGAGGTGATGAGAGTCATAAATCTTTGAATGGTGAACATTTTCAAGTTCTTCCTTTAGCCTTGAAGCCTATGTTTTTCCCCTTTCCAAATTTAATCAGAGTAAAAGTGGGTTAAGCAGTCCTCAGTTCATACTTAGAGCAGCAAACATCTTACTGGAAACAGTAACGAATCAGAGCCAGCTGACCTCTGATGTTTGATGGAAAGATGATTTAAAAACCAGGGAAGCAGCCCAGAATTATAAAAGAGGTTTTTGTACCACTTACTATGTCGTATTGGGATAAGGTAATATTTCATTTACAATACATGCAAGTTATTTATTTATTTTTAATTCAGCATGAAATGCATGTGGTAAATTTTAAATTTCTATTATATGTAAGAAGGGGAAGAGGAAACATACTATAGAATTGACTAAGAAAGATGAGACTGGCATATCAATGAATAAAACTATTTTTATTAGATTAAAATATGGATAGTGATTAAAGGCATTATTAAGAATATTTTTGGGGAAAAGGCAGCACAAGGAGAGCATTATTAAAATGAATTATTCATTAAGTGAGAGTAAAAGATAGTTATTTATGTATGCTCTGAGGTGGTAGACCTGATATGCTTAGAGACTTGAAAGTGTGAGAAATGGCTCCCCTGCCTGAATTTCAAATGATGGACTGGGAAACAGAAGCATGATGAAAATGAGATTTTTGATAACACCCTCAAGAACAGATACCCATTGTACAGGAACACCTGTGGGGCAGGGAACATAGCCTACTTATTTAGTCCCTCCTCTGGTTCCTCATTGGCTGAGTACTGTTTGATCACCTATTTCCTACTAGGTTGCCTAGATCTTGTTGTCTCCCATTGGGTTAGTACTTTAAAAAAAAAGGGGGGGGTTGGGGAGAGGGGGATTGAGCTGGGGCCTTTTCCAGTTGCCTCCACCTCCCTTTGTCTAGGGGTATCTTTCTAAAGCAAGTGCTATCACCATAAGTACAGCTCTCACCTTCTCCCCACCCACACATCCTGTTTGCTCTGAGGAAATTCAGTAACCACCTGGCCACCTGCTATTTCTTTTCTATGAAGATAAATCAGAGAGGCATGCTTCCTACAAAAATTCATTTAGAAAATATTGTATTCCCAGTGTGTGCTGAAAATACAGAGGCACACAAAACAGGCTGTCACTGTGCCCTTGTGGAGGTAACATTCTAGTAAACTAGCCCAAAAAGCATAAATAAGTAAGGCTTTTATTTAGACACCTGGTTTCAGTCTCAAAAATATGAATGTACATGTCATGATAGAGTAATTCTTGGGTGGTGTCTAAAGGACATAGAGCAAAATAATTAATTTGGAAATAACCTCTATATTTACTGTTGTTTTATTTTGATACCTCACAACTGGATCCAACAAATTTTCATTGTGGAAAGAAGGAAAAAAAATATCAAATGGTAATATTTCTCTTTAGTCTGTAATATAAGAATTGACATCGTTTATACCATAAATATCAACCTTATTTATCTCCAAAAAATTTGAAAGCAGGGACTTGAACAAGTGTTTATATATCCCTGTTTATAGAAGTACTAAAGGCCTGGTGACAAATTCCTGTACAGGTGGGGGTCCCTCAGTCTGGCCAACAATCGGAGCCCATCAGGGCTGTCCAGCCAGCAGGAGGGACAGTGGGAGGTTGGCTGGTCTG